ATTGTGTCAACAAATATTATTATGATTAAAGGTTGACTTCAGAACATTTTGTTTTTTTCCCATAATTCAATATTTTTATCTATTTATTTATTTATTTATTTATTTATTTATTTATTTATTTATTTATTTATTTATTTATTTATTTATTTATTTATTTATTTATTTATTTATTTATTTATTTATTTATTTATTTATTAACACTTACTCACTCCCGGAGAGAGTGACAATGGTTACAGATAATAGTAAAAGAATACAGTATTAATACACTCAGAAAAGGAAGTAATAAAAAATAAACTAATCCACAAAAACAGAATTTTTATGGGGAAAAAAATAACAATAAAACAACTCCTTCTAGAAGAAAGATGTATATTAATCCAAAATGTGTTGTCTAATTTCAACGCACTTGTTGATATACTGTGCTACCTGGATGACGATACTATCATTCTTTAACAGTGCTGCAGTGAACTGTTCTTCGGGAGGCAGGTTGTGAAAGGAGTCAATCACATCAGCCGCTGTATCAAACAGAACACTGCGTCTATTACTGTATTTGGGACACTCCACCATAAAATGAAATTCATTTTCAATGGTATCTTGGTTACACATGTCAAAATATAAGGAAGCTACACTGTGAGCTTTATTTCATAAACGCGCCGTATTCCAACGCGAGATTGAGTTTTTGTGAAGAGACTGTGGAGGCGCTCTTCGCAAAACTACAGTATTTCCAAGTCCTGTCAACCAATCACAGAGAACAAACTTTGACCTTTAAAAGGTCACTTCTGCCGACCCTGGCCGATTCTGTCGTTTAGTAAACAACGCTGGACGTTTTTTGGCGATTTTTTGTGTTAATGTCCATCAGCTTTTCCAGAAAGATTTCTCATAAAACTGGTAAGTGATTATTGTTTGAGTGTTTTGTAATGTCAATGTTGCGAACTCACGAACGTATCGATCGTTCCCGCCAATGTCGTGATATCCATGCCATCCCACAGGTGCTCGGAACGTTTCTTGGATAATAAAAAGGACCTGAAGTAGGATCGGTATACTTAGTCAGTCGCCGGTACATCCCGTCCCGAGCGCCTGTGTGTCATCCATCAGAAAGTTGACAGTCTGGGTATCTGGGTATCGGTCACTTTACCCTGTTTTTAAAAGTGACCAGTCTCAGACTACACCAAAATAATCTTAGGAATTCTCTAAGACAAGCCTACGTCACAAACTGGTCAAAATCCCCCAAACATTGCCAACAACCAATCACAGACTAGCTTAAACAATAGCTTTCCCTGACGATAATACTTAGCAACGTTATTTCCCCCACGCTAACTTGAAAAATCTTTTGTTTTTGTCTCGTTTCCGGTCTGTCTTAGAGAATTACAATAATTATAGACGTGACAGTGAACTCGTCCCGAGTTAGGAGCACTTGACAGTTGTTTTTTTTTAAAGTAAGCTTTTTTTCAGTCTGTTTTTATGTACATCATTGAACTGGGGAAAAATTATAAATGTGCATTTAATATGTCGTATGGCTCCCTTTTTATACTATGTATGATTTTTCCTTTTCTTTTTTCTTTTCTTCTTTTATTTTGTTGCCGTTCCGAAGGCTTAATAAATATTATTAATATTATTTATTATTATTATTATTTACTAGTAAACCTCCATGTAAACGTAAACACACAATCCTAATTGAGTTTATATTTCAGCTGTGGTAATTACCAGGTGTTGAAAGTCTCAAAACTTTAAATAGACCCTAAAAAAGAATATGTCAATATGTCGATTAACAAATACTATTTAAATAAGGATTTCAGATATAAACATTAATTGTTTATTCGTTGTTCTTACAAGTACAATGGTAACAGAGGACCCACAGGAAGTTAAACAGGCTAGTTTGTTGTCGACAGTTTACAGCCCCCTCCCCACGTTCATAGATCACAGTCCCTCCACAAGGGACTGGAGGGACTGTGCATAAATACATGGAAAGTACATGTACTACCTTCCATGATAGATACAACCTACCTATTGTTCTCAATTGCATCTCTCTGATATGGAAGATGTAATTTTATCATGCTGATATGAACAATATAGAAATTAGAAGGATTATCTCCTTGCTTGATGGGGAATAAAAAAAATGCAAGTTGGGCAAGATATGCTAATCAGTAATCTGATCCAAACTAAGAAACATAATGGCTGGGTGCTATGGGAAATGTGCCAGTTATGATATTTGAAGGCTTTACTGTGACTCCTTGCATATCTTGGTAGGTCCATGAATATATATGGACTAGCGATTTTACTTTTTTCGGGTAAAATGTACCATGACACATGAAAACGTTACTAGTTATTTAAAATAGAGTTTTAAAATAATAACAAGATATATGTAAAACTATTATAAAAAGTAAGTAACTAGTATTTTAGTGTATTTGTGCTTTGTAAATATAATTGGCAAGTTCTTTAATTATGCCAGTATCTTTGCTTGAGAGTATATATGTGAACTGTATATTTTTTATTTTTTAATAAAAGGAGTGTCATAATTTTTTAGATGAAGTTTTCCCTGTGTGTGTTATATTTTGGGCAATTCAATAGAAAAAGTTCTTCATCTTCAATTGAATTTGTGTCACAGTTATTGCATTTAATGTTTCAAAATGCCTGTCAGTCACACTATAAGTTAGTTAATCCCTAGATGTATAATTTATCTACAAAGCTAGTTGGCTTTTGTCATGAAGTGCGTCTAACAAATTTAGGTAAAAATGGTACAGGAAATAACAGAGCAACAGAAATGGTCTAGGAGGTAATAATGGCAGGACATGATCATTCAAATAAAAACAAAAATTGTGTTTTTTATTTAGCAATCATGAAGTACCGATATTAGTGCATAATTTAGAAAAATAGATAATGCAGGTTTTTTTTAATAAATAATAACACCATCCCCAAATTTTTGGCCATAAAACTTGTGGCCAGTATTTATATTTTTCACTCATAAATCCATGTGACATATCTCATACATTACAAGCATAATGTAATTATAATTATTTACTAATAACTCAAGTACAAGTACATAAATAAGTATACTGTGCTCGTAAAAATAAATATGCCGCACTTGTCGTATCATGTGTGTACTGATAAATTATTGTTGTAAAATAATAAATATGCTGTTCTTACTTATAGATATCAGTTCATGAAAAATTGGATAAAACATGTGCAAACTTGAAAAACCTGCCTTCTGAACAACTCTGTAGGACAAAGCGTCTCCTGGACTTTCAATTCATTTGTTTATAATATCACTTGTGATTTTGATGATTTTTGGTTTAAATATAGCCACATACAGATGTGCAAATCTTACCAAACTATTGTTTTAGACATTATTGCTTGGACAACCCTACACAAATGTCATATTAAATGTAATGTGAAAACTAAAAGTCGAGGATTCATCAACATTCATCAAATTTTTTAATAGATAAGACTGATAAATGTTTTTTTTAACTGTGACACAGAAAAAGAATAAAACATAAATTGGAATGAATGAATGAGTGAGTAGAAATCAGATACACTTACCTATCACTATGGACCAAACAGTTAGACAGCTTGCAGCCAAAAACAGTAAAAAATTCTAAAACAAATCGTAAAAACAATCTTCCCAGTAAAAATAATGGAAAGTCCAACAATATAACCATAATTTAAAAAAAAAAATAACATGGAGAAGTAAACAGCTGATTTTAACATAGTGCTCTATGTAAAAAATGCAAGTCCCCCCTCCCAACGCCCTCTACAGTTCAATTTTCTATCCCACAATTCTTTGCAAAATCTAATATGGAGTCAACACATTTCTTCCCTATGTCCCTTTTTAGCCAAACACCTTCATTTTAAACATATTCTAATGTTATTAAATCAGCTTACATGCTGAGAACATTGGGGGGGGGGGGGATTGCAACACAATCCCCTGTGTTCAACTTTAACCTTTTCACCACCAGTTCCCTCTTTTCATCACAAATTCACAAAATAATCCTGTTTATAGTCTGCACTTTCCTTCAAAAATAGAAATTTTTTTTTAGTAAAAACTGAAAATTGACTGAAATTTTATCAAAATTCTCCAGAAATATTTAAAAAAATAACAGAAAAGTGCGGAAAAATTTGGGCGAGAAATTCTGGTGGTGAAAAGGTTGAATGTTCTTCCTTTCTTTTAACCTATTAGTGGAGGGTGTACACGTTTTTTATTATTATTATACTAATTTATATTCAAAATATATCAAACTGTTTTCTTTTGATATTTGCAGATCAGAAGATGTCTACACGTCAACAGAGTGGTAACCCGAGTGATCCTGATTGTCAAGTTGCAGGTGGTGATGGGGAGGAAAGGTTCAAAGATGTAAAGAAATCAGTAGATGACCATACTGACTTGAGTGAAAAAATGTTAGATCTCTACAATAATAAAGAGTTCAGTGATGTGGTACTGCGAGTTGGAAAATTTGAGTTTCCAGCTCACCGAATGATTCTCGTCAATAGTAGCGAATACTTCCAACGAATGTTTGCCCAGAATTGGAAAGAAAAAGACCAAAAAATTGTAAATCTTGAGGAAGAAGAAGGATACCACAAATTTTTTGAAGGATTTCTGAAATACATCTACACCAACCAGTTAGAAATTTCGTTGGATTCTGTCCTTTGTTACCATACATTAGCGGACAAATACATGGTAACATCACTGAAGTATTCTTGCCTTGAGTTCATGATTGATAATTTTAATGTGAATCCTGATATCAAACGTGTTATGGCATGGATGAAGTGTGCTGACAGGGATGGGGGCCTGGAATTTGAACTGCAGGAGAAGTTAATGTTATTCATCGCATGGAATTTGAGACTGTTTGCATTGTCCAACTACTGGTGTGATTTTAATATTAGCCTGATACTTGACCTACTTCGTAGTGATGATTTGGTAGTTCCTGATGAATTCACCCTCCACCAGTGGGCGATCAGATGGCTAAAATTAACGGAACCTGATGAAAAAATGTTGGTTGTAAAGCTTAAAGAAATGCTGCCACTGATTCGGTTTCAGGTGATGCCAGTGCAACATTTGGATGAGCTGTTGGACGATGATTTCGTGAAAATACACTCTGATCATTACCTTTCTCAGCATGTTGTACCCGCTTTTCGATATCATACAAAAACTGAATTTCTGAATCTTGACCCTACTCCTCTTCGTATTTATACCGATAATCACAGTTTATCCAAGACGAAAGTTAAACAAGGCTTTTGCATATCGTACTGTAGAACAAATTATCAAACAACGCCTTATGAATGCAACTCAATCTGCATAAAAAATTTAGCACTGTGTGCATCGCCGTCCAATGCCGACATTAATGAGAAGAATCATTGGACTATCACCTCTTCCACTCAGCACTGTCTCAACACGGTCTACTCTTCAAGTGATTCGGATACAATTGATGTCTGTGGTGATAGACCCAGGTCTGCTAAACGCCGGCGAGTGGAATCGATGAGAGATACTCGCTTAGATATCATTATGAAACATAAGTTAAAACAAAATGTTGATGAATCGCGAAACATTCTTATGAATTTCCTTGTTCGTTGCAAGCAAGGAGGAGTTGTCTATATTAAGAAAGTTGCCACTCGACAAATGAGGACCAACAAAGGAAAGGGAACTGTGCAAATGTGGCGGCCAACCAGTTCAGATCTTCTCAAGCAGAAAGACACAGAATATCTTATCGATGGGGCTTACAAGTTTATGTTAGTGCTGTTACCTAATGGCAGGGAGGTTGTTGAGTAATTTGATGATTATGGGTATCTGTTTAGAGGATGGTTTATGAGTTCTAGTTGTACCAATGGGTAGTTTATTGGTAATCTTTATTTACCTAATGATAGTAGCATAGTTTATGGATTATGTTTTGATTGAACATACCTTGAGTGTACCCTGAACTGCCTACTTGACTGTACCCTACACTGCCTACCTGACTGTACCCTGCACTGCTTACCTGACTGTACCCTTCACTGCCTACCTGACTGTACCCTACACTGCTTACCTGACTGTACCCTACACTGCTTACCTGACTGTACCCTGCACTGCCTACCTGACTGTACCCTGAACTGCTTACTTGACTGTACCCTACACTGCCTACCTGACTGTACCCTACACTGCTTACCTGACTGTACCCTACACTGCCTACCTGACTGTACCCTGCACTGCCTACCTGACTGTACCCTGAACTACCTATCTGACTGTACCCTACACTGCTTACCTGACTGTACCCTACACTGCCTACCTGACTGTACCCTACACTGCATACCTGACTGTACCCTACACTGTCTACCTGACTGTACCCTGAACTGCTTACTTGACTGTACCCTACACTGCTTACCTGACTGTACCCTAAACTGCCTACCTGACTGTACCCTACACTGCATACCTGACTGTATTCTACACTGTCTATCTGACTGTACCATTCACTGTTTACCTGATTGTACCATTCACTGTTTACCTGATTGTACCATTCACTGTCTACTTGACTGTACCCTGAACTGCCTACCTGACTGTACCCTACACTGTCTACGTGACTGTACCCTACAGTGCCTACCTGACTGTACCCTGAACTGCCTACTTGACTGTACCCTACACTGCCTACCTGACTGTACCCTACACTGTCTACGTGACTGTACCCTACACTGCCTACTTGACTGTACCCTGAACTGCCTACTTGACTGTACCCTGAACTGCCTACTTGACTGTACCCTGAACTGCCTACCTGACTGTATCCTACACTATCTACCTGACTGTACCCTACATTGCCTACTTGACTGTACCCTACACTACCTACCGGACTGTATCCTACACTGTCTACCTGACTGTACCCTGAACTGCCTACCTGACTGTACCCTACACTGCGTACTTGACTGTACCCTACATTGCCTACTTGACTGTACCTTACAATGCCTACCTCAGTGTGTCCTGCACTGTCTACCTGACTGTACCCTACACTGCTTACCTGACTGTACCCTACACTGCTTACCTGACTGTACCCTGCACTGCCTACCTGACTGTACCCTGAACTGCTTACTTGACTGTACCCCACACTACCTACCGGACTGTATCCTACACTGTCTACCTGACTGTACCCTGAACTGCCTACCTGACTGTACCCTACACTGCCTACTTGACTGTACCCTACACTACCTACCGGACTGTATCCTACACTGTCTACCTGACTGTACCCTGAACTGCCTACCTGACTGTACCCTACACTGCGTACTTGACTGTACCCTACATTGCCTACTTGACTGTACCTTACAATGCCTACCTCAGTGTGTCCTGCACTGTCTACCTGAGTGTGCCCTACACTGCTTACCTGACTGTACCCTACACTGCTTACCTGACTGTACCCTACACTGCTTACCTGACTGTATCCTACACTATCTACCTGACTGTACCCTACATTGCCTACTTGACTGTACCCTACACTGCTTACCTGACTGTACCCTGCACTGCTTACCTGACTGTACCCTGCACTGCTTACTTGACTGTACCCTGCACTGCTTACCTGACTGTATCCTACACTATCTACCTGACTGTACCCTGCACTGCTTACTTGACTGTACCCTGCACTGCCTACCTGACTGTACCCTGAACTGCCTATC